AGACATTTGCCCCTCACTCTATTGTTTTTTGTTTCTTCGTTTTCTGAAAGGCATTTTCAACTGTGGGGACACCCGACTATATTGCACCTGAAGTGTTATTGAAGAAAGGATATGGAATGGAATGCGACTGGTAAGTTTATACTGCTAATTTATTTTTATTCTCTCTTGCATTCTCTCATCTTTGTGTTTATGATATGTATTGTTTGGTTTAGGTGGTCATTGGGAGCAATAATGTATGAAATGCTTGTTGGTTACCCTCCATTTTATTCAGATGATCCAATAACTACATGCAGAAAGGTAAAATGCTTAACGCTCATGTAAATCTGAGTGCAAAGTTTTTGTGGTGAGTCATAGGTTTGAACTAAGGTCACTTCAGTTTCACATACAAAATTACTCACTGTATTTGTCAATTTACGTCAGATTGTTCATTGGAAAAACCACTTAAAATTTCCAGAAGATGCAAGGTTGACAGCTGAGGCTAAGGATCTTATTTGCAGGTTGCTGTGTGATGTTGAACATAGGCTAGGGACTGGAGGGGCACATCAAATCAAAGTAAAGCTCTCCTATTTGAATAAATTGTTGTCTTTATCCTCTAATCAGATTTTTTTTCTTTCTTAAATTTCTAAAAACTATGTTGTATTGTATCAGTCTCATCCTTGGTTCAAGGATGTTGTGTGGGACAAACTCTATGAAATGGACGCAGCATTCAAACCAGAAGTGAATGGAGAGCTTGATACCCAAAACTTTATGAAGTTTGATGAGGTATTTTACAAGATCATCCTTTTATTTCTTGTATCATTGTTTATCATCTTCTGCACCGACATCTACTAATATCAGTGCTATAATTAACAGTTCCATTTATCTATACCTTTTAGCTTCTGTACTTTTGCACTACCAAACCTATTGAAATACTGACTTCCGTACATCTTTGCATTTGTGCTTAGTTGGACCCACCAGCGTCAGCAAGAACTGGATCTTCACGAAAGGTTTGTAACTGTAGATGCTGTCTATATACTGATGATATGCAATACATATTTTATAAGACATGATATGTAATACTTTACACAATCAATTGGCATTATGCTCATCTTTTCCCTGAAGAGAAAACCCAAGCTCAATACTGGGTTCCCTTTGTTAAAAAGGCGCCAGAGCCAAGAGAACTGCCATAGGAAAAAGAAAAGATCATAGTGTAGACCTTTTCATCTATGTTTGTCTTCAAGATGACGTAATGCCAAATTACAATTGTTGACTTTAGCCGGCCACCATGAAATCTGCATTAGTGCTGTTTGATGCCAATAATTCTGTTTTTAATTTTCTCAAAAAGGGAATTTTCTTGTAAAAAATCAATCTCAATTGGCTTTTGCTTATATCTCAACTTGTGAAACATTATTTTCAGAACTCAGAAGGAATCTGCATTATTAGGCAACGCCTCATTGCCCTTTTGTTATCAATAGAGTTCTCATGTCTATTCTCTAGAGGATCCACAAAAATCTGCAATAGCCTGTTCATACGAACTCGTACCACATGTTTAAGTAATTTATGATTTAGTATGAATGTACAATATGTATTCCTTATCACCTTATACTTTCATGCAGTTGCAAATGACTCCCAAAGATTTAAGCTTTGTTGGCTATACATACAAGAACTTTGATGCTGTGAAAGGGCTTCGTCAAGCTCTTGGTACGCAATGTTACTCTAATGTTGACTCTTGTTTCCAGAATCGTATAACTTAACTGGAATTACCTGATGTTATTCTGTTATGAACCTAAGCGGATTAAAGCTTATATATTCGCCAATATATGCAGGTGATGCTAGGGTAGATTTTACTGCTGAACGGGCAGCCAAGGAAGCCGAGTTACAGATGCTTGCATCAGCCGGTGATCCCATGTTACCATAACACCAAATCCCTGGGGACAAAAGGTGACAAGATATATACTCATGTCCTTAATTCGGGTTCATATTCAAAGAAACTTGGCATATCTTTCAAATTGGCTGCCGTGTAGTTTGCAATATAAACATTTTAAGTGTACAGTAACTGTAACTATTGAAGAACTTCATAAAAGCCCCGAAAAAGAGGCGAGTGAGAGACTTCAGTAATTAGGTCTTGTGAATTAGAATTTTAGAATTAATGTAGCCTGAGAATTCTGGGAACCGGTTGTCCTGACTGCCCAGGTTGGCAGTATTGTGCAATGCCTTCTCTAGTGGCAGTTTCTGGTGAAAGTACCAAGTATTCATGGCCAAATTACCAAGAAACTCAGTAGCCATTTGACAAGTAACTTTTCTCTCTGTTGTGTTTGTTTAAGGCTTTTAAGGGATGGACTTGAATATGAAATGAAATATTTGTGTAAATATATTGCTTCAATTTTCATACCTCCATGTTATATATGGGGGTAAGGCTAGCCGACATTCACCTCTCACAGATCCTGCGTAAAGCGGGAGCCTTGTGCACTGGGTACGACCATGTTATATATCATATGCCTCGTACTCTGGCCAAAATGGAATTTTACAAATGTATGTATAAAGTTTTTTTGTTGTTGTTGTTAAATATGTCAATTCCTTGAACTTCGAGGTTGTTACAAGTGGGAGAGACTGTACTGCAGTGACATGACAGATTTTCTCCGCTGGCGTGTCTTGGGGTATGTTTGGGTGAGGGAATTCCAAATTCCAAGGGATTTAGACAAAGTGAGGCAGAAAATTGGTCACAAAAAGTTACACATGAGGGATTAGAAATGCACTGCATGAGCAGTACAATGGAGTGTAAGAGGGATTTGTAGGACTCATGTAGTTATTTCTAATTCCTCCTATCTAACTTTTTATAATCCATTTCTTCATCACTATGCCTAAATCCCTCACTCAAATATACCCTTGAAGAATTTCGAGCCTTCTTTTCTCTCCTAGCTTTCATGTTCTGTTTTTATTTATTTGACCGATATTCTAACTGAACTTAAATTAGAGAAGAGGTGTCAAACCAAGATGTTTTGTAAAAAGACATTGTGTAAACCAACTTGGTTACGCTTAAGTTTGGTACTTTCATTTTCTGTTTAAAATTGGAGATTTTCACACATAAAAATGGGAAGCCTTTTGTTGAATTTTTTTAAATATTCTTCAAAATCCAACATGTTCTTCCAATCGTAGAAAAAGATAAATCACAACGAATTTTCAGTACCAAAAAAAAAAGAAATAAATAAAAGAAAAACTAATGAAAATGACTTGAAAATTTTGAGTTTTAACGATAAGGTTAAGTGAATAGTACCAGGATTGACTTTTTAGTGTAAAAATGTGGTTTTTCATTAAAGTAAACAGTATCGAAAGCTTTTCGTTAAAATTCTCAATAAATAAAAGCAATTTGGGCTCAGCAGGCTATAACTCTCTCTGGCCCACTAAAATCTGAGACCCAATAGGAATTCACTAGACAAAGTCCACCAAGTGGGCCTTAATTTTAAGCTCTGTAATTCGCGTCAGTCAGTGACGTCGTTTTATTACACAGGTCAGCAGTTATCCGGATTGGGACATCATCCCTTTAGGTTTCAGGATGTTTTTCTCAAGAAAAAATAAAAAATTTACACTGGACATTATTTTAATTTTCCATCTGTTTTCAGATCAATATTTATGGAGAAACCTTTTCCAAATCGATATTTTTTTAATCAACTTACATAAATTGGGATTTTCCGTTATTTTAACGTTTCAGTTCAATATTATGTCTCTCTATATGAGGCCGAATGATCGTTAATTGTTTAGCTAATTATTTGCTTTAGTCAACTAGATACAGCAAACTCTGAATAATTAAGCTCAAAATTGTCAGCCTCCTCCCAACCTAATAATACAGTTAGCAAGTTGAAAGGAAATATAATGAAAATAAAAATTAAATCTAAGTTTGGATGGACGGTTTCACTTTTCATAAGACGTGAAAGTTTTTCACAATTTTGGATTAACCAAACACACGAAGGGAAGTGATTTCTCACCTCGAACTCATTTCTTTAAAAACCAAGTGCAAATCTTAGAAGAGGTTCTAAGTTCGAATATCCATTATCACTAATCCACGCAATGTATTTTAAATTTGTATATAACCACTATGTATTTAGGCCTAAAATTTGAAGCATATTTTCTCAAAGTTGGTATTCAGATCATATCGCGATTTACTATGGCTACCGTAGGATAATTTGGTTTTCCTCTTCCTTTTTTGGTTTGTTTGTTAAATCAACGATGTTGGAATTTAGAAAATGAAAAGCCTTTTCTTAAATGCATTGCGTAAATACTCTCAATTACTCAAACTACAAACCCCTTGCAATTTTCATATGCTTCTTTTTAATGTTTTACAAAATAATTAACCCACCTTCCCTAAAGGTAAGATGGAGTTTGTTGGTAATACAAAATTTTAAACCAAGCGAGTGCTTCATTTTATAAACCAATACAAATACTTACAGCTTTAAGTCTTTTTTTTAAATTTTTTTTATAAATTTATTATTATTAAAGAAGCGAGAAAAGTTCGAAACTATTATAACCCAACACTCTATTAAAATTTTTGTCTACACTTTATAAGATCTATATGAGTATTAAACATTACCAATCTATCAAGATAAAAGAATAAATTATGATAAGTTTGTTGCAATTCCTAATCATTGTTGCGTATAATATCCGTCAACATTAATAATGAGATTTCTGCCATTTATAAAAACATATTAAAACATTGGAAGAAACAAAAGAAATTTATAACAAAATTTTTTAATTAGGACAACAAGTACACAAGATAAGACTGTCTAGGCAGGATACCAGAGAAAGATCCTCCCTCTTATTAACAAAAATTTATAGACTTATAAAAATAAAAAAAAATAAAAAAATCCTTTGAAGCATTTTCCTTTTGATAATAATTTAGGATTACAGAATTAAAAGGGAAGGATCATGGGATGGGTGGAGATGCTTTAATATGCTCTTCAGGATTTGACATGTGTAACCTTTTTCTCACTCTTCAAATTCACTCCCCTGTCTGTCTCTTGTCCTTTTTTCCTCCATTATTTCTTATTATTTTTACTTTTTCTGGTATATTTCTTTCTCCACTCCCTTTCTTGCGTTTGCAGGTCTCAACTCTCTCCAGCTACATTTATTAATATTAAAGCAGTCATCTTTGAGCTGGGTTTTTTAATTGGTAAGCTTCCCATATCTTGTTTTCTTGATTTCTTTGATCCTTTTCATGGATTTCAGCTGTTTAAATAAAGTTTAGAGAGAGGGAGGGAAAGGAGGGAGGGAAGGAAAGACTACACGGTTGACAAATAAGGTAGTGATTCTTCTTCTTTTACCTTCTTGCCTTTTCCTGCTTGATAATTGTCATAATTATTTGTAGAGAGAGAGGGAGGGGAGAAGAGAGAGAGAGAGAGAGAGTTGAATTACGAGAGGCAGAGATAGGTTGCCTCAGATCCAGGGAAGTCTAAGTTAATATTGATGGGAAAAAGTTGCTTTCTTTGATAGGGTTGGGTTTTCATGTGACCCTTGGGGCTTTGCCTTAGTTGGGTTTCTTTCTCATGACCTCCTTTTCTGTCTTTTTTCTTTCTTGTGCTTTGATAAGTGGTTGGTTCTAAATTTAATCTGATTTTTGTACTTTTTTCTAATTTTACAGTTTTTTTTTCTTTTCATTTGTGCATTTAAAGCTTGTATCTTTCTGGGTTGTAGTTGATGAGAAGAGTGAAGAGAAGAAGTTGAAAAGGGCTCACAACCTGTCAATTTAGTAATATTAAAGTCCAATTTCCAAAAATGGAAGTGTGGATCCATTGTTGATGACCAGATCTGACTACTCATTTCATTTTCCACCACCCTTTTTAGCTCATCCATACGTTCACATATCCTGAATTTTGCACCGTCTTTTCACCTTTAATCGGGTGCCCTCAGGCATGGAAAATGGCCCGTTAGAACCCACCGTTCACATTCCGAAATCATTCTCAATAGGGGGAGAAAGTCTTCGATTAATTGAGAAATGACAGGTTGTGTGATGTTGGAGGGATTGGAGGGTAACTTTTTGTACTGCCCAGATAAGGATTTTCATGGAGGATATGTCTCCGGTGGTCGCGTTGCCATTTAGAGTAGGTAACTCAGTCTGTGATAACCCAACCATAGCTGCCCACATCGATATCACAAGCCTTAAGCTAATGAAAAACACGGCGGGGTTTTTATCTGGTTCTGTCACCATGGGTTCCAGTGAGACAGTTGCAGCTGGTGAAGAGGATTGTAATTGTAGTTGCTCAGGTAATGATAATTTTGGAGCAGTTTCTGCGCCGAAAGAGGACAAGGGAGGGGGAGCTCCTTTGTTTGATATGATATCTCAAGACGAACGCAATTGGGTTTCGTCTGCTGATTTGGTAGGCCGTGAGAGTGAGGACGATGATTCTTTATCATTGGAAGGCGATCAGGTTCTTGATAGCTTTTGTTCAGTCTCAGTGGCGAGTGAGTCAAGTAGCTTGTGTTTAGAGGACTTCCTCGTCTATGAGATTGGTCCTGATGCAGGCACACTGAGTTCTGTAGACACGGAGCAGAGCATTTGCTGTGTTGATGTTGTCGATAAGGCTACAGATTTAGGTGATTCAAATTTTGAGACAGAGATCACAAGTGACCCCCTTGCTGTGACGGGGAACCCTGAGGAAGAAATTGGCGATGGGTCTGATCCAAAGCCATCTGCAGTTGTTGATGAATTACCTGTGGAAACGGGGGCCAAAGAAACAGTCAGCCGCAGTGTTTTTGAGGTAGACTATGTGCCGCTTTGGGGGTTTACATCCGTGATTGGAAGAAGACCAGAGATGGAAGATGCACTTGCCGCTATACCACAATTTTTGAAGATTCCAATTCAAATGCTGATTGGTGACCGCATACTTGATGGCTTGAGCAAGTGTTTACACCAAACTGTGCATTTCTTTGGAGTCTATGATGGTCATGGAGGCTCTCAGGTACCATTTCCTAATCCTTACGTGTTCCATGGGCACCTTTTTCCTTCTGCATAACATGCGCATAATGTCTTTCTACCGGTATTTTATTTTCATGGAATCGGCTTTAATTTTGTTTAGGTTGCAAACTATTGTCGTGATCGCGTTCATTTGGCTTTGGTTGAAGAGATAGAATCTGTTAAGGAAGGCCTAGTTAGTGTAAGTATCAAAGACAATTGCCAAGCGCAATGGACAAATGCATTTACGAATTGTTTTCTTAAGGTTGATACTGAGGTTGGAGGGAAGGCTGGTGTTGAGCCCATTGCCCCAGAAACTGTTGGTTCCACTGCTGTTGTTGCCCTTATTTGCTCGTCTCATATCATAGTAGCAAACTGTGGAGATTCGAGAGCAGTTCTGTGTCGTGGTAAAGAACCCATGGCATTGTCGGTGGATCATAAAGTAAGACATTGTCTAACCGAAGTCTTGTATCTTATAGTTTATTACTGATTGTGGAAACTGATCTGCATTTGTTGTATTTTGTCGTAAATTCTTGTGTATGGAACAATCGGTTGTAGCCAAATCGGGAAGATGAATATGCAAGGATTGAAGCAGCTGGAGGCAAGGTCATACAATGGAATGGCCATCGTGTGTTTGGAGTTCTTGCTATGTCAAGGTCTATAGGTATGTGCTTCACCATGGTTTTTTCTTCTGTTCTCGTAGAAACCTTTGTAGTACTTCACCGAATGCTATATATACAATAGATTTGATGCTAGGTCCCAAATATGATGGTACGTTTAGATGCACAAAGACGTTTCGGTGACCAAAGTACATAGAAAAGCTATGTCCTACTCTAAAGCTTGAGCAGTTCAACAGTAAAGTTGAATTTCAACTTTTGTTTTGGGTTTGCAGGCGATAGATATTTAAAACCGTGGATCATTCCAGAACCAGAAGTGATGTTTATTCCCCGGACAAAAGACGACGAATGCCTAATTTTAGCCAGTGACGGTCTATGGGACGTTATGTCAAACGAAGAAGTGTGTGACCTTGCTCGGAGAAGAATACTCCTCTGGCACAAGAAGAATGGCGCAGATGGACTTCCGCAGGAAAGAGGCGAAGGAATTGATCCCGCTGCCCAGGCAGCTGCGGAGTTTCTTTCAAACCGTGCCCTTCAAAAAGGAAGCAAGGACAACATTACTGTGATTGTGGTAGATTTGAAAGCTCAAAGGAAGTTTAAAAGCAAAACATGATCGGTTCCTTCATCCCCCATTTGATCTGTAGCTGTATGATATAAGAACTTTCGTATGATCTGATTTATCGTGTTGCCCGTTTGTTTTTCGCCCGGGCTTCATTGCTTAATCCGAACCGCACGCAGTGTGTATGTACCATAGAACATTTGCTGTACACTGCCGAGCTGTGGCTGTGTAAATCTCAGCTGCTTTGTAGAAGGAAAAAAATAGGAATATGGTGGCAGTGTGATGCTTTTAAATTGTATTCATTATGCCTCCGAGTTAAAAGAAAAAGCTCAGTGGGGGTATTTACTTAGTCTATTATTTCAATCTTAGTGCTTATAAAATTACTAAATTTGGAATTTGCTTGCCACTTGTAATGATCTTGCATGAACAAAAAGGAATCCGGATTCTCGCCGGATCCTCTTTGTGAGGATCTCGGGGATACGTCAATTCCGTCCGTTCATCGTACATCGTGTGGTCAGAACTTATTTTAATATTTTTTATTTAAAATTAAATACAAACAGTATTTGACAAAAATTGATCGCACGATGTACGATAAACAGATACGATTCATGAATTTTCAGGATCCTCATCAAAAGGATCCGAAGAGGATCCTGTTGGAACAAAAAGGGATTTTCATGTTGCTGTTTTCTCCTTCTGCACTCATCTCATTGTTTTTATTATCTTATCGTTGATTTTTCTTAAATTTACTCGAGAAGAATGAGGGCAGGGGAAAATGATAGTGCGGCAATCACCGCTTAAACCAAAAAGTAAGCAGAAAGAACCATAACAATTACCTATCCAATCAAGCGGAGTAACCTAATGTGATTAAAATGAGATTCAAGTAATGGAGAAATTTTTAAGTGAAGACGACATGTTGGTACACTAAGTGTCACAATAAAAGTGGTTATAAATTTTTTTTTTTCAAGTATCCAACCACTTATGACACTTGGTATACCAAGGTATGTACCCGGTGCATTTAAAAATCTCTCCAAGTAATGGTTGCATTTTTCATGAGAGAGCAAGTCACAATCAAGGCAAACCAGGTACTTTTATTATTTACATTATGTCTCTTTATTCTTTGTTTTGGCAAATTTAAGTTACATAAGCTTTGGAAATACATTCCCAGAGATGATCTTCGTTAGAAAACAGCAGCAGCCAAACGTGGAATCCTAGTATTTCCGGCGTGCCAACTCCGTCACGACGTCGGCAAGGTCTTTCTCGCTCTGAACACTCTGAACCCACTTGGCGTTGATTTGCACCCGTTCAATGCTCTGCTTCAAGGTTCTAGTTATCGCCGGGTTTCGACGGGCGTTGAAGAACTCATCTACTTCCTTAACCTTGTCAAACGAAGCAAACTGCATGGGAATGTAGGAGGAAATGATAAGGCATTAGTAATCTAAGTTGCAAAACAAAAAGACCTCGAGGATAAGAAGGAAAGTTTGTAGAGAAAGAAAGAACGAACCGGTGAAACAATTGAACTGACAAAGCGAGTGATTAGAAATCCAGACCCCCAGGTCTTTGAGATGTGCTCCCAGTTATCCTGTGTTTCGGGCAATCCAAATGAAAAAATGAATCACAGTAACGAAAGTGGGAAGGAAGATAAAATCTATGAAAGTGGAAACATTTCGTAGCATGTCGTAAATTGGTGAGAGAGGTACCTTCATCCACGTCCAAGCTGTTTCCCGACCTTCATTACTAACAGCAAGCCCAAAGACAGCATCCTGACTGCGAACCTGCGTAGACGGGCATTAAAGTCATATATCATCAAGCTTTGAATTCTCAAAATTATTACTAATAAGTAAAACTTCAACCTCCAATTAAGAGAAAGAAAATCTGAAGTACCTCAGGAGTCAATATAAAGTTGAGAACCTCCAGTGTAATATTGGGATCGGGACAAGACGCTAATGAACCTACAGGCACAGACACATCGATTACTGCTACAATCTAACAGCCTCTACGTTCAGCAATATTTTCCTATTTTCTTATATTTACCTAGAATGCGGGTTTTCTCCTGGCTTAGATCACTCTCTCTGTAGACTCTAAGAAGAGATTCGTAGCCTGATCGGTTAGATACACTTGTTCTTTGCATTACAGCCACATATGCTGCCTGCAACAGTAGTCCATAATTAACATCAACGATGAACTTAAAAGGTTAATTGTGTATGTGTAATTTAATTAACGATTTACATCAAAGCAACCTTTCTAATGTCAGGGGGAAGGAGGGGCGTGTTTCTGTCTTCTAAAAAGGCATGAAAACGCCTACTTGCTTCATCTAACGTCAGGTCATGACCAAAAACAGCAAGTGCATTCAAAACGTCTCCTCTCAACATTGCATCTAAATGGCTTTCGCTGGGTTTAGGCTGCCAACCAAGCCTCCTGTAAAGAAATTCCATCATAAATGATAAACTTTAAACAAAATTAAAGAAAAAGACAGAAGCAAATCTTGTGGATCCTGATAGTTTATCTACGTAGGCATTTGAGTTGTTAAGAAAAGAGCAAGCTTACTCTGCGGAATACTGGAAAAGTCCAATAAAGAATTGTTTAATGTGATCCAGTAGTCCGGGTACAGCATCGGCTGCAATTCTTGCCAGATAATAACTTATCTGTGAAAGGTGAGGACCGGAATCAGGCCAAGGCTATAAATGCAGTGACATAAACACAATGCAGGGAAGATCATTACAGTAATCAAATTTGACAGAACGATATAGTCAAGGTCCTCTCTGTATGCACTCAACAAGGTAAGCAATGAAGCAAAAGACTGCTTGCGAGACATTGACAGGGCAAATGAATCATCCAAAATGCCTGTTAAAGGAAAAAAAAATTGAGGAAAAATTTCACTATCAAAGAGTTAAACAAGCACATGTACGAAATGATGGTTACCAAATCTGTCAGTTTCAGACAATTGTTTCTTTTCAATAGCGTTTCTAAGTGCAGCTGCAAGTTCATCCTCATATTTCACTCTGTAAAAACCAGTCTGATCCACATTGACTTTTATCCAACTGAATAATGCGTTGTCTTTGTTGCTTGTGCCTCCACATCCAGCCTTTCCTACTGAGCAACCCAGAAATTCCTTTATGTCAAGAGTTTCAGACTTCGCTTGTAGTAGGAAATTCTTGCGCACATCGTACGAGCCACAGGATAATGTGATCGGCACAATCCATTGCCCATCGCCTTGGGAACCGCTTGAGTAGAATTGTGTCTGCCATACATTAATTTACTTATTAGATCTTTGTTTGTGTCCTTGTACCATGGAATAAAACCTAAACTAATGACTGAACAGCTTATATATGCAATAGAGCTCGAGAGGTTCTTTCAGAAGTTCCTTTGATAATCAAACAACTTTGAAAGAAGCAAACATAAGGATACCTGATCAAACTCCAATTTCTGATCTTTGATTTTGACAGAAATAACCGGGTAACCTTTTTGCTGTGTCCATGAATTCATTAGCTTGTTTACAGGTTCACCAGATCCCTCCTCAAGGGCAGCCCACAAATCTTCTGTCTTTGCATTTGAGTAAGCATGTTTTTTGATATATGAAGCAAGTGACCTCTGGATGCATTAACAAGTAGCATGCAATTAACTCTGTAACTTTTTTATATCCTAGAAAATAAGATAGTTACTTCAACCTTCAAGCACACTAGCTGACAAATCAAAGAACATACCTGGAAGACTTCAGCACCTAGATAGCTTTGTAGCATCCGAATAACAGAAGCACCTTTTTTATAGCTTATCGCATCAAATATTTCATCAACCTCAGCAGCATGATTGATCTCCACCTGGCCAAAAATAAAAAAAATTAAACCATAATATATCAGAGATACATATATACATTAATACTCTCCAATTAATAACACCTTGAAAACTATAGTGGTGGTGAGTAATACTATTTAAAGCCTTCTATGCAGATGATCAAGATTCGATGCTAGGAAACAGGAAACTTCATGAAATAAAAATTAAAATGAAACCCATGAAAAACCAGGTTCACAAATAAGTACCTCAATGGGGTGAGATTCTTCAAGCCCATCCAGCTTAAGACCAGCAGTGAGTTCATCAAGAAACTGAGTCCATATTTTCCACTCTGGGAACAAGCTATCAGTAGCTAAATAGCTCACCTAATGACATTAAAATACTTACTTTTAAGTACAAGAGCATGGAAACTAACAACTAACAAGTATAGCAATGATATGAAGTGATACCCATGTTGCAAATCCCTCATTCAGCCATAAATGCGTCCACCATTCCATAGTTACAAGATTGCCAAACCACTGGTGTGCCAATTCATGTGCCACGACAGTCGCAACCTTTTACCAAAACCAAATAGAGTGATTAAACGTATCGTTGGGTGCAAAAACTATACTCCCCTACCATATTAACCAAGATAAATTCTGAAAGCACTAACATTCAGGATTCGCATTTTACCCTTTGCTTGTTGGCAGCTGCAGAATGTTTTTCATCAAAAAGCAAAGCTGTTTCTCGGTATGTAACTAAACCATAATTCTCCATGGCACCGGAAGAAAAATCAGGTATTGCAATCATATCCAATTTGGGCAACAGGTATGGCACGGCAAAGTAACTGCAGAACTTATCATCAATAAGTTCATATTGAATGGAATGTAATGCAGCATAAGTACGAAAAGGAAAAAAAAAATCTAGAGAAACTGCTACTTTTAGTTGATAACACGCATCAAGAGCAATTGCCAACTTGGATATGAATGATTGGTAACTTTCCCACATACTCTTTGTACAATTCAAGTGTCTTGACAGCAACGTGCAAAGCAAACTTCCCTTGGTCTGCCTTACCAACTTGACAATATACCCGCACTTTGACCCCTGTAATGACATCAAATGTGACATCATCAAGAAAAAGGTTGCACTGACATACACATGAAACTAAGGCCATTGTGTAGGAGTTTACCATCAGAAGTATGATCTTCAACGTAATCAAACAATCCGACAACAACGGCCACCAAATATGTAGACATAATTGGCGTTTCTGCATATGAAACTGTCTTCAGATGCCCATTCACTTTTTCTTCTTGAATCGGCATGTTGGAAAGGGCTACTAGTTCAGACGGAACACCATCAAGGGTAATCTTGAATGTAGCCTGCCAACCAAATAGCCATTAAGTCATAAATTCTAGATTTGAACAATTTAACTAGAATGGGAAGATTGATTCCTCATCTATACTACCATCATAAACAACAGATAACTTTTTTCCTATTCTCAAAAATGCATTTATAACAATGTATATACTGAATGGTGTAAACAATATCACTTGATACTGATGAAAATCAACATCTTAACTCAACTGTGTGTGTGTGTGTGTGTGTGTGTGTGTGTGAGAGAGAGAGCGAG